TTCAGCAAGCCACTTGTCTGAAGAACAAAGATCATACAATACAGCACAATGCCTACTGTATGAGTATCTCACAAACACATTTCAACAATCATCATCATCAATTCAAATATAACTGTCATTATAAGAATTGTAAGTGAGTGAGTAATCATGAACTAGACCCTTTCATGGAAGATAAAAGGGTGTGGATTTCATTGATGTGTTATACATGTTTGCATGACGCATGGAGGCACAAGATAATTAGTTGGCCAATGAATTAATCAAATGTGGGGGCTGAAAGACCAAGTCTGAATGACAGCAAGGTGAAGACTGGTTTCATATCTTATTGTTTGATGAGCAATTGGATCTCAAAAAGACATTCAAAAGCTTAATGACGCAAGAAAATAACTCAAGTCATTCAGTCCTCTCTGATCTTAATATGTCAGTCAGCTTAATACAGATCTTAGGAGGCTGAGGGAGAAAAAGAAAATTCACAATCTCTCATCACCAAAATATCAACTATTATGTGTTTACTTAGAGTGAGTGCCTTTGTAATGTATGTTTGAATTGTGCTTGTGTCATGTAGTTGTTTCTCAACTGTGCACTCACTGGAAAGAATGGAGTGAAATTTGTATGTGCACCACATGAAAACACTTTGGAGCAATAACAAAACAGCTTCTTTCCAAAACATTGTGTTAAGTGTGTTGTTGGTTCAACAATGCCAAGAATGAAATACGGCTATGACACCAGTTAATGGTCTGAAAGCACTGTGACTTTCCTCAGACAGAAACAACAAGAAGAGGAATCAGCAGACAGTAACAGTTCACTGGTATAATTTAATCAAATGAAATAAGTCCACTTCATCCTTCCCATGAACACCCTCGATCTCAGAAGATCAGATGATCAATGCGAAAGACAGTATCTCTTCTAAGTGAGCATCTACTAAAAAGTTACATAATTTCTCCAGATATAAAAAATGCTGATATTTACAACTGATTTACGACTGGGCAATACCACCAAAAGAGGTAATTAAAGGTTTACCAAAAGACACATGGGGAATACAGATTTTCTGTGCAGTGTAAAATGGTTGTGAAGTAACACTGTTTAGAAAGGGAAACACACATAAACACCTGCTCATTTAGTGAGAGTCAAGAACCCAAAGGAACTTACATATCTATTATTCTCTACCCACGCTCCTGACTGCAGGCCTCCCACTTACAGATGGCAGACCTTACTGTTTTCACGGCAACTGAACTGCAAAATTATCATTTGAATCCTTGCAAGGTGCACAGAAAGATGAGCAGAGAGAGACAGATTAACAACAAGTAGTGATTTCATTCCATAATACCTGTTGTTCTTTTGCTCATAATGCAAACTAAATGTGCGAGTCAGCTATAACGTTCCTTGTGAACTGCGAAGGAGCTTTCGTCAACCTGGCAATTTGTCCGTGATAAAATACAAGTGGCAATTGGCATTATACCTTTAATATGAACCCTATTCAGAAATATCCTGCACTTATTTCTTATAATCAAAAAGGAACCTGGGTGTTTCGCAGGAGTCACATAGATTATCCATGAAAGTATCACCTGCACCTGTATTCTTGTAAAACTAAAACTATGCCAGACACCATTATAAGAACCACAGCTGTAACAAGTGACATGGATCTGAATTTCCTGTCATTAATCTGTAATGTCTCTTTTTGGCTCCAGCCTGAGTTGGGTTGTCTCTGCTCTGTGCCCCAGCTGTGGCGCTCAGGATAATACACGATTCCGTAAGCATCTGTACCGTGCAATAATGAAAAACACCCCATGCTGCGAGAGGAAATAGGAAATTTCATAATCCGTCTGAGGCTTTGGCCCTGGTCGCTGGTCCATGGAGAAAGTCTCATTAAACTTCTCATTAGTGACACACTGAGCTTCTGTAATGACGGAATGCATATACAAATCACCTCAGACATGAAAGGAGGGACAACAACAACGGAACCAGGCTGCATCCCTGTGCTGCCAAGTCCTCTGATAAGAGCATTTGTACTTGGCAAATGGACCAGTGTTGCACATCTGTTTACAGTCTGAAAAAACAATTTGTAAAAGAAAAAGGGGTCCCCCATTAGATTCTGACTCTCATACTGGAACTACTCAACCTGGAGACATGTCGCCTATTTAACATAATGCACTTACTAACAGAGGGGCACACTCACTCTGCATATTTGGTGACAAGCTATCATAAATCAAATCAAAGCGCATTCCTGTCCAATCTATGTTGACATTTTATGCTGTTCATTTCTATATGAATTCTTAAAAGAGCAGTAATAGTCACACTTATAATCTCAGGCCCTTTTGAAATGATGAGTGACATGGTGTCATGATTACTAGTGTGTGGGTGCAGAGGTGCTTAGACTGTGTGGGTGATGGCTGTGTTTGAGGAGGCTCTGACGTGCAATCATATTTTTATTACCAGCCAGTCACATGGTGAGGGGTGAATTGAGTGGGCCAGGCAGCATGCTTATATGAAATGGACAAATTTAATTTAGCAAATTGTGCATGTTACATCCTTACCCCTTTTAAAGTATGACAACTGTCTTTTAAAAGGGAAACATCCAAGATACTATGACTGCTGTTGTAGTTTTGCATTTTAATAAAGCTCCAATTCTAAATGTAATTATTCCACCACACATCTGATGAGCAGTAACAACACAACATATGGTACAGCACACCCTTGTCCAAGCTCTGAGAGCTAAAACGAAATAATAAAATAAAGTCGTCAGACTCTGAATTGACATGCGTAGGATAAGAGGGCTGTGTGTGTGTGTGTGTGTGTGTGTGTGTGTGTGTGTATGCGTGTGTATGCGTGCACATGTTTGCACAGTCTGCATGCCTGCTTGGTTCTGCAAATGAAACTTTGTATGAACACACTGATCAGTGCACCCCTTGGCTGGAGTGGAGCCTGGCTATGCATACCAATTTTGGATTCATCGCTAGTTGCTCCCCCTAACGCCCCACCTGACACAAAAGAGAATCAGCTTTCTGTTTGTGTCAGCGTTTAGCAAGAAGCGCTGCACGGCTCCTTCACCCAGCCTCCTTACCTCAAGGGCATTGACAGACTCTATGTGTTGTCTGAGTTGTATAAAAGTGGATACAATGAGTGTGTGCGGTAGCTGTCTGAGGCAACAAAATAGTTTTTAGTTTCTAGGTATCACAGCAGCTGTGAATGTCAATCACAAAGAACACGTGTTATGTGAGGTAAAATTACATGATAAAAGCTCAGCACTATCACCTAATTACAGTACGATCATACTGTATGTCCACCTATGAACACACATAGGCAACAAACACACAAACAAAAATAGCACTACTGAAGCCCTGTGCAGAGTATTGAAGAAGGCTGATTATTCATTGGCTTTTTTCAGGCAGTGAATGATAGCATGCAGCTTCCTTGTAACAGACTAATCAAGGTTTACATTGATCGCCTGTGTAATGGTCACCCTGCATGTGTCATCCAATCCCACTTCACTATTGAGCAATTATTCTCGACAACCACAAGCTTGAGCCATGCCACACCTGGTAGTGATATGATCATGGGTGGTGAGGAAAAATGCCTAATTTCTTCCTGTTAAATCATCTCACTGTTCCTGCTGATAAGAAAAGGTCCGTTCACTGCTCAATCCAACTGCTGTAAGTCCTGTACATAATTCTCAACCTCCCTATAGAAAACAGATGGCTGTCCCTCTTGGTTTACATAACTGATCGATGGTGTGGGTAAATTAATTTTTATATCTTGCCCTCCAGAAAGTGCAAACTGCAAACACAGCAATTAAATCATACATAACTAATAAAATTGATGTTTTTAGCACTGTACAACTGTACCAGTCAATCAACTCTAGGGCCATTTCACTCTCACCTCTTAGCTCAGAAAAAATCATCTAATGATCTAGGCCGAGAGATGAGAATAATACAAAAAAAAGAGTGTGCTGTAATAGCAGTGGGAAGGCGGCAATGACACAGAGACCCCATTGCTCACACTATGCTCTCATTATCTGCTGTGACTCCAGGTCTTCAATATTAGCCAATAATAAGCACTCTGCAGGACCATCTGCTCTGCCAACACGGGTTATTCTATGTGTGAGAGAGAGATAGCCATGCAGAAGAGGGAAATAAGAAAGATATACCATGCTATTTGTGAAAATTATAAGGAGAAGAGAGGCTGAGGTAGGAGAAAGGACATGAAAAGTGGAGTACAAGAAATACATAAAAATTACAACTTAATGTGTAAAAGTATGCTGTGAAAGCCAGTTCTAAAGTGAAACTAGAGAAGTTTGCAGTAAGAGAGACGTAACCTGGTAGTAAGAGAGATGTAACCTGGTTGGAATCAATTACTAACTAATGAAAATAACAGCTCATTATTTTTTCATACCTTTTGTAGATGCTACTTCCAAAGCAACTGCTGACCATTACAAGCATCTAATCAAAGATTAACTGATATGCAAGAATTTAATGCTGACTCTTTAGGAGATACGGTATGTATCTTTGGCCTTATTTCAATACACACCCGACAGTGAAATCTCCTTCTAACCTTTTCTTTTAACATCCAAACCAGGTCCTACTGAGGTACTCCCCCCTGATCCTGTGTATTGGTAAGGTTTACACAGTAGAGGCAGGCTAAGAATAGCATAGATGCTTGAAAGCACTAATCAATCTCGACAACAATGCCAAAGCAACACTGAACACTGTCAACCCATACTGAACTCAGGTGTGCACACCCTGGAACATCCTCTGAGGCGCCAGCTGGCTTATGCAACTCATCTCTTACCAGTTTTATTTGAAACAAAAGATTCGCAGAAATAAAGCTGAATATTTGTATCAAACACAAGCATTTTATAAATACCCTCACTGTGTATCTTGCAAAAATGTGTACATCAATTCTCAAAATGTTTTGTTTTTTCTGGACATTTTGACCCATTACCATTCTACTTTATATTCAACATGTGCAACATCTTTCAGTCATCTTTAAGTGCTGCAGAATCTTACCTTCTGTCTGATCTCCTCCTCCATTTTGACCGGGGAGCCCATCTCAGCCACCTGTTTAACTCCATCACTGGAAAAACCACCATATTCCCACAGTACATAGTTCTTAGAGTGGGAGGCACCAATGATGGCTGACCAGTGATTGGCACGACCTGGTGAAATAAGACAACAAAACATCTCATTACTTGGACACAGGGCACTTGAGATGCTTATGATGATGCATCAGTTGATTGGTACATTAATTTGTTGATTGACAGACCAAGCACCTTTTCTGGTGCAACATATTTGTGAACAGTGATTTGTTTCAGTCTAAAAATGATTTCTTATTGCTGCAAACCACCTACAGTGTATTACTTTAATTTTATGCTCCCTCATAATCCTTTCAGTCTCTCTCTACATTGCTCTTGCTCAGGCCAAAGGTGTGCGTGCCCAAGTGGTATATGGAAAAAGGCATAGTGGAGCTCTATATCTGCCCTATTACCTGTAATCATACAGAGAATGCAGCAGTGGTAGTATCTATGACGATCCATCAGAGGCGACAGCACAGGCTAAAGCAAACCCAAGCCTTACACAATTAACTGCGAGGCAGTGGAGGTCCTACCATAATCCTCCAATGTTATGTAAGGTTTAAGGCATGGAGTACAGCTGTTCCATCTAGTACTGTTGATGTTTACAGGTCATTTGGGGTATCCTTAATCTCATTGTGGACCTTCAGTGGTCTTACATATCTACCTCAACACACAGAAACTAGACATATTATCATATTATCTCATATTACTGTCAAACATGTCATTCCCCTGTATGTAAGTACATGGACTGGAATAACATCCAGCAACATCACCCTGAGAGCACAATAGTGGTTTTACGCCTCCAGTCAACATAAAATGTATGCTTGAGTCATTTGAGTCTTTTGAAGACATAAATTTCAGTTGCTTTCAACAGCTACTCATTCAAGCTGAAAGATGATCGTCATCCCACGTTAGAGAGTCCTTTACATGAACAACTTTACCATTTGTCTTAACACTATTATACTACCTATTAAGTCAAGGTGCAGTTCATTCGAATAGGTCATAGGTCTATCTCTCAACCTTATGCCCTAAATAGAGCCCTTACTCTGCAGTTTTTCAAGTCACCCTTTCTACCTTCTGCTGATTCCCAGTGTGATTCTGAACAAAGATGAATCATACTGATAATCTAACCTCTGTGTTTGCAGGATTCCTGAAATAGTATACTTTGAAAACATAATCAGCACTTCATAGGCCATTGCAGGCATGGCTAATATAGGACCATTTGAGAAATGTTTCATGACCATTGACGTCTACAAAATTGTTACTTTACTAAATTCTACATAAATGCTTGGAAGCATAGCTAGAAGAATAATTGTATCCCCAAAATGATGATTGTATCAGCTATTCACAGGACTAATGTCCATGGAGGTGGACCAGTTGCTGTTTAATAAGTCAAGCAGAGCTCCTGAGTTAGCAACAGTTCTCAGGTGCTATTATCAGGGTTTGTTGTATAGAGCCTGATAATTATTTGTTTATAGCCTAGGGTCCTCCTAAAGCTTTGATTCGCAATTTCCAACTTTTGCACTGAATATTTGCTTTGAAATATTTTATTGTCATTGCTCATTAATACATTATAGATACTTCACATGATTGTTAAACATATCTAGTTGCTGGTGTCTCAAATACTGACTTAAGTTTTTGATAAAATTAGGGTTTGGGTTATGATTTTATGATTGATATAGATTTTCTACTTTCTTTGACTGGGTTTGACTCCTCACAGCCTTTTCTTAGATGCTGTGCATTAGATTTAGTGCTTAGTCTTTTTCCGTGTACAATAATTTGATGCCATGACAAAAGACATCCTCTCCAATTCTTAAAATGATTACACACGTCCAATCAACCAAGGCAACTAATTAAATTGGACTCTACACAACTGTAACTTCTAGTACTGAATAAAATTGTCAAATTCAGTTATATTCAACCTGTTGTTGCTTGGCTAATTTAAAACAATGACCCCATCTTCAGGAACAGGATTCATGAGCATTCATTTACAGTAAGCAAGGAATACAGAGATTGGCACTGTATTTTTATGGCACAAATGCATTTATTTTATCTTGCCGTGACAATATGAGGTCTGCAATGTCTGTTTTCTGTTACAACCAAAGAGAGGTACAACAACAGTGTTTTCAAAATGCTGCAGCAAAGTATTTACTTTGAATGAGAATATTGAGAGAATCGTTTACTTTTTTTGCATCTTTTTACTAGTTGCCCATTTGTTTTAAGATTCTATGATTTGACTGATTTTTACTTTTGAAGCTTACAGGAATTGGCCTCCAATCATCTTTCTAAACTTTTCTCACACTGCCAGCATGCACAAGCCTTCCAACTCTTCCAGTGTCTCGGTTAAAAAGTAATGATGACCAGGATTTGGAATGTCCTGCCTGAGGCCTCGGCCTAGCAATATCAGGATCATCTCTTAGGGCTTGATCTGAATGCGTTTTCAGCAGTGAAATGTGCCCTTTTCTTATTGCTGTTAATGGGGCTCTTGCTGTTAAATGCTTTTCTGCTCCCGGTGAATAACATTTATTTATATAGGATGCCTTTTCCTCAACTTTCTTACACATCAATCCATTTTGTCTTGACGGTCAAGATTATTTCAAACATGTTAGGTGTTTAATATTTTTGCTGATGGTCCCTTATGAAAAAGGCCATTTCTGCCTCAAGCTTTTATAAATGTCTGACCCTGGCAAGAAGAAAATCATTGCCCAAAACTAAATAGCTTTGACATTATGGCTCTAGTTGGCAGTTTTATATCCATCATCAGGTTATTTCACCTAAAGTAGAGGTAGTATTAGTTTACTTCAAAGGTGGGTATAACTTGAAGCCGGTGCTCTCCTTTTTATTGCATTTTTGGTAGGGATTAATGCTTATGGTCAGTGGCTGGTTTCCATCTTCAATTTGTGGAAATGTTCGTTTTAAAATGCAAGGGAGAGAAACAGCAGTGTTATGATATGTGACCTCTCTCTATGTGTTATTAAGACTCTGATCCAAGGTGCATTGCTGGACCTCAGAACAATACTAGTAGACTTAACAGAGACATTTAACAAACCCCTGATTAAGTAGCGACACACCTGGGAAAAGGTCAACAAGATTGTTGTGGTGCCGATGCAGACAGAGATAAACTGTGCTTTCCAGCTTCAGACATTTGACTTCAACAATGTTCTCTCCAAATTAGGGACTACACTGGACAGCAGTGTGCACAGGCACCTCTGTACATCTCAGAACTTCTCTGCCCCTACTCGAACTCCAGGTTTTTAAAAGTTCCACGATCAATCAAGGTTGGTAGGTAAGAGAGATCATGCCTTTAGGGTGGCAGCTCCAAAACTCAAGATGTTTATGTTTTCTACGGCTTATTCTTTAGGGGTTTTTAGTTTTAGTCTTGTTCTGTCTCTGTTTTTACATTTGTGCACATATTTGTTATTGCCTTATATTTATATAGGGTTTCATATATTGTCATTTATTGGTGTTATGTGCCTTTTTGCACTGATGTGCCTTGCACTTTAATTTATACAGCACTTTGGACTTTGGACTCTGGTTGTTTTAAATGTGCTATATAAATAAACTTTATTTGATTTGATTTCATCCCCCGCTGCTGGAACATTGCTCGTGTATTGCTAGATGTCTGTAAATAAACTGAGAATCTTTGGATATGAAGTCCAACACAAATTATGCAGAACTGTACTGTGGTAATGCTAGAAAAAAAAAAAAAACATAACTGTTTTGTGAATAATGTATTTGTTTATTTATAGTGTGCATAAAATAGATTGATCAGACAGTTAAACGATGATATGGGTATTTCGATTTTTTTCTGATCAACCATCATGTAGATGTGGCTTACAGGAGGGTTTGGTTAAAAGTGAATTTTATCTACTGCAAAGCAATGAAAAATATCCTTGTGTTTGTGAATGCACCATCAGCCTCATATGAAATCATAGAGAACTATTCTTTACATTTTGTCAAGGTAAAAAAGGTGTTGTTTTGGTGTATATGTTTTCAGTCTGGACTTCAATATATTGCTTCTGTTGAGTAAGAGGAAATTGTCTATGATGGTATACTTCTTTATTTGGTCAATAAAGGAATGTTAAACTCTCTCCCCCTATTTCTGTTTCTCTAACACTAATCCCATAGTCTTTGATGACAACCAGACAATACACCTTCTCAATATACACTCAGTGTCCGAGCGAGCTGCAATTGCTCGGGCTGAAGAGCCATGCACTGCTGCATGACTAGGGACAAAAGGGAGAAGGAAAATAGAACTGTCAAGGTTATCATGTCAGCAGTAAAAAAAAAAGCCCTGTTGGCCTGTTTAACAGTGAATTTTTGGTCTCAGAATGTATGTCACCACAATGGTCTAAGGCTCCTGCACTTGAAGGACATATGTTAAAAATAGAAGGATGACATGTGACATAGTGGCATATCTCAGGTGACAAAAAATGCCTGAGTGCTTGCACCAGAAAGGAAGTCAAACTAAGTTTACTTCTAGCTAAATTTATGGTGGGTTTTGATTGGCAAGTATCATCAGAAAACAAATCAGGACAGATCATCATGTGCTTACTGTATTGTAGTGTAGTCAGTGCATAATACGGTCCAGTGAAATCTGTGGAGTGTTATAATAACTGGTTACCTAGGATATGACTTTGTGCAAGGAGAAATCCAACTGTAGCGTAGTAAGAGTCGGGATGAAACAGAAACCACACAGCTTGCCCTATTCTCTTTTAAGTTGATCTATCTGCGAGGTGTGTGTTTGCGTATCTGTGTGTGAGAGTGAGTCACATACTAACTATTCCCTCTATGAGACAGTAAATTAGGGCTCCTTTCGATCTCAGGGTTTATCTTATTCCACTTTAATCAGTGTATTGATCTGACCGGCGAGAACCTGATTTAGACAAGAGAGCCAGTGTAATCCTTGAGTCCATTCACATCCTGACAGTGTGGCTCAAGGTTATGCGCACATCACATGAAAACTATACTGTAGCTCACCACCCACACGAGAGCCAGGTACTGGGGCTAAACTACCCACATGTCAGGGACATATCCTAGAGTTTTTCGGGCTACAATTGAGATTAAAGGATAGGGCTGCTGATATTCTGTATTTTTGTTAATGTCAACAAATCATTTAAAAGACCACACACAACAATGTGTTAGTCCATTTCTCAGTGCATTTTGACTTTGCTGCCTAGTCTGTAGTTCTCAGTACCAAGGCCAATTATTCATATTCAAAAGGATCATGAGTATATTTTGGCCACATAATGTAGTTTTGAAAATAGACTACAAATTCATTGTAAAGCAGAAACATGTAAACCAGTGAAACTGTGTTGCTCATTGGAAAACAATGGAGGTCCATCACATGGTACTCTAAATTACAACAGGATTTTGCTACATAGGCAATACAAACACTTATTAGCATGATCAATTCACTACTGGTTCAGATGTTTTCATGTGAGTTTTTGACAGTAAAAAGATAGATAATATAGACAATAGATAGATATTGTTTAAATGTGTGATGGAGCTGACATGACATGACAATAAGCAGAGTTTGTGCTTACGTGGATAGTCTTTGGGATGAATCTTCTCTGACCAGTTCCCATAGAAGGTGACTCTGTACTTTGCTGTTCCACAAGCACAACAGTCAAGCAGAGGTTTATCTGTAGTGTCTCCATACAGGGATTCTGTATAGAAATTAGAGGAGGGGAAGGAAAAGGTAAAAGAGCCAAAAAGAGAGAAATACAGAAGCCCATGAGACAGACATAGAGAGATTGCTCATTATAATAAGGAGCAGATGAGAGTGATGCCCATCATACAGGAGACGAATGGTTTAAGAAAGTAGGGAGCCGAAGGAAGGAAGACAGGAGGCGAGAGGATGTGCGGCACAGTTCTTTTGATCTGTTGCTCAGTGTGGCATCCAATGTCATGCACAGCCAGGGGTTACACTCATTTACAATCATTCACATGCCAAAACATAACAGCAGAGAGTAAAGTCCCTGCATAAATATCAAGAATAAAAAAAAAATAGAGTAAAAGAGACTATCAGTAGGGAGTGAAATAGAGTACCAGCAGGGAGATTGAAGGACTAAGAAATTCATGTTAAATCATGTATTCCATGTCAATAAAAAAAGCCTACCTTTCTCACACATTCGCTTTGTGAGTGAGCCTTCATCCTGGAAATAGATTATCCTCTTCTGCACAATGCTTGCCCTACACAAGAAGAGATGAAGGCATTCAGGAGTGAAGTTTGTTGGGGGCAGCACCAAGTGCAAATGTAGGCATAAAGGGGGAAAGTAAGAGTGAATGTCAAAATGGGAAAAAGAGAAAACCATTTGGAGAAGCCATGAGGTTTCAAAAGAAAAAGAAACGAACAGACAGCGGGAAATGTGGAAAATGTTGGCTTTTAAGATCTGATACAGTCTGAACAGTGGATTGTGGCAGATGGAACAGGTGCAGACATATTCATAATTTTTTTTTTTTCAGAAGACTCCTAAAAGCAGGTATCAGAGCCCACAGGGAAATTGCTAAATCAGGCTGTCTTTCAGATGGAGACATTCAATGTCTCATACAAAGACCACAAAAAGAATGCCTCAGCATTAAGATATACACGTACATAGAAATGAGAGACTGAAAAGTTGAAAAAGAGACAGCAACTTAGAGTAATTTGTGCATTTAAGGAAGGTCCTACACCACTTTGTGAGAAAAATATGCAGAAACGCACCGACACACTATATTGTTGGTTATGCACTGTGTCGATAAGAACTGATTGACAGGCCACCAGTAATGTTCCACAAAATGTGAGGCCTGGCAGAGGGGAGCTTCTCTAGATTGAGCTGTCTAAGAGGCTTGTTCCACTGGGAACACAGGTCTAAGAGGGGCCTTGACATGTAAATCAGCCACAAACAAACCTTTTCAGAGGCCAGCAGACTTGAGAAAACAACAACAGAAAACAAGCCTCCAGGCACCTAACTTCCTCACAAACACCAGCCTTTTACACCAGCCCTGGCTGCAGGAAGGTTTCCATGGGGATAAAACCCAACAATGAGGTGCTGAGGTAGGGTCTGATCCAGGTGGGTCCCATCCAGCTGGACTGTTCGGATACGATTTATTCTGGAGTATCGAACTAAGCCAAGCTGTGTTGTGCCGTTCCCAGAACCAGGCCCTCACAGCAAGAAATTACATACAGTTATAAGGAAATATTAATCTGATATGAGCCAGTTGTGTAAATGGGCCCAAAACATCTCTCCAAGCTGGCTTTCAAAAGACTTCCTAAATAATTTGTTTTGGAGTTTGTGGATGGGTATTTGTATGGACCACGCAGTCAGTCATCAGTGAAGGGCAGTGATATACATGTTGTAATGTAACAATAGGCCTCATGCAAAAATCCTTTTATATTCATACTTACTTTCTTCTGTGAACCAACCCAACCCATTTAGTTTGTTTTAAGTCAGATTCACCAAACCTTTAACTGCACAAATGTGTTGTAAATCAATCTTTTCAGCCTCATCAATTCTACCTGTTCATGAGGATATAAGCATTTAGATTTTCTCTCAGATGAATAATCAGCACCCCTAAATTTCCATATAAAGTTGCCTCCTCTGTTTGTGGGCAAGTTTCATACACAAAATAAATTATTCCAGCAAGTGTTGACTTGACTTATTATCAAATTCATTCATATTAAGGCGTCAAACTAATTCTTGTGAAAGTGTTTTTCGCCATTAAAGAAATGGAAGACTCATGGTCACTCATTCGTGACTCATATAATAGTACAGGACCACTTATAAATTTAGTTTGTGAGGGAAAAATTTTAACAAAGAGAAAATTGGTGAGTTCCACAAATTCTCTTAAATCACTTATGGGCCTTTTGACACTTACTTACAAATGTGCTCGTACGAGTAGTTCTTGCATGATTATGAATGATGATCAATTAGTTTGGGGATAGCAATTTGTACAGTCCACATCTCCACGGTAACGGTGAATGTACACCTAGTTACATGACACTGTCTGTTCTCTCAGTGTTTCTAAGCTTAATTTAGCTTTTTAATATAAGCAGTGGTTGATGAAAAATACAAGCACAAGGTTAGAGGGCAAAAGGTCTTCTACAAAAAGAAGTTTGAAAAACAAAAAAAAACAACAGAGATGATCAAAGCTTGCACACTGAGTAGAGGAACATGATGGACTGAGGCCATTTAGGCCATAAATTACACTCTACATACTCATACACACTATTGTATCCTGATTACACTCTCTTTATATCCACACATTATACAAATTCACACACACTACTATTCTCTCGCAGACACACTACCATTTCACTCATGTACTCTCTGTACTTCTAAATACAGAATATAATCTCATTCAAACACACCCTTATTCACATAAACATATCATTCTTTCTTATACACACCACAACTCTGTCTCTCATGCTTACTATAGACCAGGGCTCTATAGCACCTGTATGCACATGGTCACCTACAAGGTGATTTTTTTGTCATCTTAAATATGTATATATATTTATATATATTCAAACAAAGTCTACTTGTGTTCCATTGTGTCAAAACATTTAACTACATTACTGATTTTCCTTTCATTAAAAACATATATTGTGTCTAGTCTTTATTACATGTTATGAGTTGTAACCATGCTTCCCCATTCTGTCCTTTTGCATTTGGCATTCATTATCTGTGTCATAAATGGTGGCCTAAGGCCTTGCCAACATTCTTGTCAAGTTACACTTTTACATTTTAATTACATTACATACCTCTATTAGGTGAGTTGAGTAAATTGACTGATCAGTTCATAAGAGTAGATTCGTCATAAGAGCCTTCAGTGTTAATACTACAACCAGAGAACATTACTTCCACTTCCAAATGACTAAAGATGAAATAACACACTGCTATGTTCCTCTACTGAAAGCATCCATTTAAATCATCAAGTATAACAAAGTAGCCTTCACAACAATTTTATCCCTTTAGGTAGCTCTCACGCTCAAAAAGGTTGGAGACCACTGCTATAGAGGGTATACTGGTATATATGTGGGATTAGGATGTCAGAGAGTAAGTATGAGTTATGGCCAAAACAGCCTTTCATAACGTGGATGAAATGGTTCAAGGTAAATGGCACCACCAGCACATCTTAATTGTTCACGCTTTAATTCAATCACCCCAATTTCACATATCTCCCTGAGAGAGAGGAGCACATTCTGCCTCACTGCTTGCCCACTTTCCAAGGCTGGCCAGACAATCAAGCAGAGTAATGCTTATTTAACATCCAATTTAAATTCTATCTCACTTTGCTGGATCCACACACACCACCACCGATCCCAATCACCCCAAAAGTGCACTGACTTGAATGTGTGTGTGGGGAGGTGAGAGTGGGAGTATGTATATATGTGTGAGAGCTTAACAAAAAGAGAGAAAGAAGAGAGAGAGAGAGAAAAAAGAGAAAAATAGAAAAGAAAAAGAAAAGAGAACAATAGATTGTGTCTTTTATGGCTATGTCTGCATGACCAACAAATGTGTAAAATAAGAAAATAAATTCAAATTTTATTATTCTTCTGCTATAACCAGATATTAAATTATTTCATTTTCTTCTATCTGCTGCTGCTGCTGCTACAACCAGAACTTAAAAAAAAGAAACAACTAAGAGACAATACATAAATCCGCTGCACAAAAGCAAATGCATTTACATTTAACATCTATGGTTCTGCTTGACAACAGTGTCCTGTCAGAGTCCTCCTTGATCTGTCCTATCAGTGTGCTGAAGGAGATAAACAGGTTCTGACGGCTGCACGTGGTTGTGACATTCATCTGATCACTGATGCACTGTCTCACTCAGACAGCCCATCAGAACAACCCCAACATATTGCACATCAGAGGGATGTGAAAAATACATTGCTTCCTACCTACAAATAGAAAGATAAAAGATAGAGGCAACTTCAATGGTGACTGCAATATACGGATTATATTTTGATGTGATTTACTATGGATCTGTGGAATAACCAGAATGTAGCCAACCACAAGGATTCAGTTGTGACAATAGCTCCTGACTAGAGTTTCACTTCCACATCGGACAATTGCAGGTCATGTTTGATTTTATCATTAAGTTGAGCAGAATGGAAGCCAATTATTTTCAATCCAATTAGACATAAAGTTGAACATTGCTGTGAGGTAAGTTTGACGGTTAGCTCTGGCACTATGTAAAGAACAGTTTGGATAAAAATTAGGGGAACAAAGATGGGTTTTTAAATGGTAGATGAGTGACAATCATCTACCATTATCAATCAAACAGCAGTAGAAAAGGCTACTACAAACAGGTAATAAGTGGGAACACAAGGCTCAAATACAACCCTTTCACTGAGTTCTTCAGGTGGAATTTGAATTGAATGAATTGAAGCTGGATTATGTCTGTTGTGCCTCTGACCAGAGCCGGTTCTGGAACTGACAGTCTTAGCTTGAGATAACTCCTTGAACCACTGTAGCAATGCAACTTAATTCAGATAGGCGGGTTGGGATCAAAGCACAAGAGCATAAATTGAGTGACTAACCAAATGTAAGGTTTATTAGAAAGAGTAATATCAGTAATACACAAGAGCTATACACACCATCTTGTTCACTAATAAAAACAGACGATAGCTTCAGGGTGTAAAGACAGAGGGTGTTGAATGCTGTACAGATTGTAAAGCTCCCTTAGGTTAATTGTTATATGTGATTTTGGGCTACAAAAATAAAATTAGACTTCACTCACGCAGTGGTGGGTAGGAACAGTGCCTACAGTTATCAAGCAGCCGTCAGTCAGTGGGTCAGTGAGTGCGCTAAATGTTGTCCTTTTTGCCATCGAATTTCATAAATAAACCACACAGAATCCCACTACGTGCCTACACAGTGATTAAATTCACGCAAACTTTAGCAAACAACCTCTTGTCCTCTTTGGACAAATATACATATTGAAAACAAGCTACCACATGTGATACTTTGAAAATGCCATTTAAGACTTTTTAATATTTGAATTTCTTAATTGTAACTAAATGGATTTATATTAACTTATAATTTATAATACATTTTAAAAGTATTTTTAAGTCAATAAAAGAAAGCTTAACTTAATTAAATCTGATAAGGGATTCGAAAGTAATCAGATTAATAAGCAGATGTCCTTACTGGATTTGAATTTGATATCGAACCCTCTGACCACACCCAGCATCACTGGGTGTTGTCAGGAGTTTGCGCTGCTGCATCTGTAACCTCACCCAGCAGTGATGTCAAAGTGTACTGAACACACCCTAAATAAGTGTCTGTATCACTGCGGGAAGGTGATATAACCACTGAAGTCTGCAAAAAAAAAAAAAAGATTTTTCGTAGCGCAGGGTCAGTTAAACAACACCCAGCAAACTTTCAATTTTTAGAATACATTTTCTCAAAAGAAGAGCAGGATTCCAACAGAGATACAGTGGAGGAAACTTGGTGTGATCTGATTCTCAAATAAGAAAGCCAAAAATAACTGGATTGCATGGTAAAACTTTCAAAGTCAGTGATCTGAGTTCAGAAGTTTGAATAAGCATCCCTGCCTGACCCTATCATCACAGACCAGGACAAAACCAAACCACCAAGCTCAGTCTTTCCATCTAAAAGACAGCAACTGCCCATCAATTATACTGCAGCAAACCACTCGGGAGGAGCAAGAACAATTTGAGTCACAGGAGATTTCTAACAGAAACACACATACACACACATGCCACACACACACACACACACACACACACACACATACTTCTAATTTCATGGCCAGATGTCTTTTTTTTTTTTTTTTTTAAATAACCATGATATTTTACAGACAGGCAGGGAGGCAGGCAGACAGACGGGCAGTGACAGAACTCTTTGGGGATATGAAATGAAATTAAAAACAAACATTTACCCTGCCTGTGGCGGTAATGAAAATGTCCTCTATGTGCTAATCTATAATATAATTTCACATTATTATGTTGTTTCTTTCAGAGCATGTTTGTTGACTACACTAACTATGTGTTTATGTGCCCATGTTTCTCTGCGGATGGGCTATATGATTACACAGCCATAGTGTACAAGGGTGTCTCTACCTAACAGTTTTCAGACAAAAAAGGCCTGCACTTGTCAGTTACAGGAGTTGTACCTCCTCAATCAATTATATTTTATTTAGACTTTTGTTGTGTTGCAGCACAGAAGCAGACAAAAACCTTGTCATCTTTATAACTCATAGGTAGGAAGAAGAACAGTGGCAAGTACCAACTCCCAGCCTCAATCATTATTTTGAGAAGCATCTCTTTTGAACTATAGGCTTCTCCCTCCCTCCCCTATTGTGTGCGTCCTGGTATTACATCCACATCTCTGCACTTTCAAGTATCTCCTTCTAGACTGTACGCTCTGTCACACTTTTTCCTCTTTCCATGTGCTTAACTGAATTCAATTGTGCCATCATAACACCAATCTCTGTGAGGAGAGCAAAAATGCCATGCACCATGACCTTCTCTGAGAAACTATGACAACACCACAGTGAAGATGAAAACAAAGAGGAGACAGATAAGAAGTCAGGAGGAGGGAGTGAGGAGCTGAGAGAGCAGTCGCACCAATATAAGAGAGTATATGAAAGCTCAGGGAGGTCATGAAGATACTCCAGGAAGATGAGGACAGGGGAAATGGGACATAGAAAAGAGAGATAGAAAAGGGAAACTAATAACATGCATTACTGAGAAATGCAACCTTTGTATCATCACTTAAAAAAACAGAGGTATAGACAAGGAAGCAGAGAAACCGACTACTGGCTAAGTACTGTACATAAACAGTTAAATAATGCATTGATCAGAAGGCCTTGTGAGACACAGTCCCTCACTATATTTCCACCGCCTGTATTTTCCCACAGTACTGGATTAATAAACAAATTTCTGCAATGATATGTCTTCAGCTGAACATGACTACACTTCTATACCCAAGAAAGCCCAGAGGACACACAACATCAGAATTGATTGGTGTCAATCAGCCGTATAACTAATAAAGGTAATGAATAGTTTATGAAGCCAAGTGGGAATGAAAATTTCACGAGACGTTCTGCATGTAACTCTGCTTAGCCTGGGGGAAGGAATGTAATGAAACAGTTACTTTACATTTGGACTTGATATACTATGCTCACAGCTCACAATCCCATTATACAACAACTAAATATTAAATGATTAAAACTTGATTTAAGTCTGTATGACCAATCTTGAAAAGCATGTATTTAAAAGGGATTTAAAGTTATCATTTTTTGTTGAAACTGTATTAGAGAGGTGGTGATTTCACAACCTCATTTTGGAGGATGTAGCTTGTGATAATGTTGAACTGTATTTAATTATACAGTGTTTCTATTATTTAATCTATCTTCATTGATGTAAATGATATGAATCTGCTATCAAATAATCATAATAAATTCACATTGACAAAAACACAAGAAGCATACTTAAGGAGGAGACAGCCGGAACCACTAGGGGGCGCAGTCCAAAACACCTGGATGCTGGTGCGTCTGCGAGGAGTGCTCTCTGTCACTGCAGGAGGGCAGTTGGTCATGAACTGTGTTTCCTCCTCATCAATTATCTGTAAAGCACACACACACACAAAGAGATTAGTGATGAATAAAAATCTCCTAAGACAACTGTCACTTAAAACATCTGCATGTGATTTTATTCATTAGGTTTTGGAGCATTTCGCATTAATTTCCTCACCTACTGTCAGCTCAAGCACCTATAAACATAACTAGCATCTGAAATTGACATCCATTTGACATTTTCAGGACATATCAAGGGATTTACTCACTAGAAATAAATCATGCCAGAAGTCTTCCTTTGCGGTTTGAAGCTTACCTAGGAACCACATCTGACTTTAGCAGTTATTAGTTTGAACTAAACAGAACCCTCTCACATGCACACCAGCGTGAAAGAATCATGAGGTTCAATTGGTCACCAAACAAATTTGAGATATGATTAACATGAGACGAGAGAAGAAAAAAACTGTCTCCCAGGTATAGAGGGAAAGTCACTCTTTGGTGGAACTGCTCACAACTCATAAATACATTTAACCTGCACAGCTTCTTTTCAAGGGGTCACAAGCCAGAGAGGCTGGGAACTACCATGTCAGAATGAAAGGGCTAGGATATTTGTTGGTTTGATACTTGTGGCTGGATATTGCGATTTTCCTCATTGTGAAAATTTATCATTGTGTGTTAGAGTACAAAAAAGCTGGTTAAGGCATTTGACACCAAACAGCGAAGCAATTAATCCAGTCTAGTGAATGGGTGACACATTGCACTCTTCTTCCACTTTCAATATATATGTCAGCTTAGTGGGCTCAAGTTGGCATCTACCTGGAGCTGAAAGGTAGCCGTCTCAGTGGAAAAAGCCATACTAGATACTAGAATGGATTATCCTGGTAAAATAAAGTAAATTGAATTCAATTTAATCAATACTTAGATCAATCAGAGAGTTAACACCCATGACACTATCACTGCAGAAAGCATTAGAGGGGTACCCAGACTCTTTGGGTCAAATGTCCAAGTCCAAAAAAAGTCCAAATGCATGCTGCCCTCTCTACACAGGTGCACACCTGAGACACTAAGCATCTCATTGATTCTAACTGGACAGGAAATTAGTAGAGTGGGTTGCATGAGGGAGCGCCGCCAGCGAGCTAATATTCACTGCCCAGGGACAGAGGATCTGTTTGATAGGAAGTGACATCAAGGCAGTAAAGACGAGGAACTTTCTCACTCCATAAAGCTGTCAGCAGAGAATTTCCTTTGTCGTGCCATGTTATGAATGAGTTCCCTCTGAAAGTGGATTGTGTGTGGACGTGCATGCCTCTGTGTGTGCGAGTGTGTGTGAGTTAGAGTCCGTGAGAGAGGGAGAGATGGAGTGAGAAGGAGAGAGAAGGAGAGCCTGGGAGCTGTGTGTGTGTGTGTGCGCGCAGCCTATCTCAGACTGACGGATTACACCAACCCCCCTCTATGTTCCCATGGTTTCTAACAGGCATCCTGGGCTGTCCTGACTGGACTTGGTGAGAGTTAGGAAAAGAAAAATAAATGAGTTGTGATTCTGGTTTCTCTACAGCAGCTGCTGGTCAGACCCAAACAATAACATTCGACATCAATCTAAAATGACTTTTGACTTCAGAAAAGTGAATGCAAACGGCAATTTGCACGGAGGTTATGCGTCAACCATCTCTGTTGCTCTAATATCAGAAAGTTCTTGTGGAATTATTATGTGATGATAATGTACCCATATACCTATGTCTACAATTATGTCATATGTTCTGCAATCAAAGTGGCACCAATTTCACCCCTCAATTTGCCTTTTCTTGTTCTATCATCTCACCCTGCTGAGAGGTAATGTCTCATCACACATCGCCAGCATTGCCCACTGGTTTACACTCTTGCCAACAAACACACACACACACGGTGGCAGCTGACCTTCCCAGAAAGCTCAATAAAAGTGCTTTTCATCAAGTCGGGAGCTGTCCTGAGACGGCTGGGATGGGGCACACCAGCAGATTTCAAATGAGCTGTATGTTAAATAAAGCCTGACGTCTTCTGTTGCAGCTTCTTTTCTCTTTCTTTTTCTCTCAATGCCTGGAGGCCGGCCCACCCAGGGGTCTTTCAGAATGAAGGAATAGTGTGTGTGTGTGAGTGTGTGTGTGTGTATGTGTGTGTGTGTGTGTTTTGACATAAAAGACAAAAAACATGAAAGACTAACTCAGCAGGTGATGATAGAGGGATAGCTCTTTGGACAGCAGTTGATTTTTACTGCGCCGTCACGTAACAAGACAGGTGGTCATCTGCAGCTATGAAAGAGACCTTCAACTTCTTGAAATGTAGCAGGAGTCTAATCAAAGGCAGGTCCCAGTTTTGACATTTTGACTTTTGATACCAACACTTAAAGGCTATGGTCACACATCTATCTATCACATCTATCGTTCTCTGTGTACTCCACACTTATCCATCTGTGGAGCAAAGAGACTGAACGTGACCAAATGATGTAGCAATTCCCCCTCTTTACCCCTGACGTTTAGCACCCTGTCAAACCATGCCACACATGGCTGAGAAGCACGCTCAAGGCAGGCACTAAATAACAACAGCATGAAATCAATTGCAAGGACAAATAAAACTGAATAAACCTTGCCAGTGTTAACGCTGGGTAATGAGATGTGAGGTGCACACAGGACAAAAATAAAATGTTCCTGTTTTTTTCATGCCGCCCCATATTTAAGGCTCAGGTTCACAGAGAGTGCCACAGCATGGCAGTAACTGTGATCAGAACAGCCTAAGGACTGCTGTGCAAACCTCCCCATGCATTGTACTACAGGTTCAATAATATAATAGGGTTTTATGTGGGAAGCGACTGAAACCGACAGGTTCACAAAAATATGAAAATAAGAATACCACACATGCTGTTAAACCCCTTTAACAACTGCTTTTTTACAAGGTCTGTTCTAAGAAAGCATATTACTGCAAGATCTGGGCAGAACTGGGAATTTTAGTTTAGGTTAAAACTGGGTACTTACTGAATATGCATTACATTTGCTTATTATAAATACACTGTGTCATGGTAAACTGGCTTTGCTGTTGTGAACTACAGCCAGTATTTCCCTAACATTTGCGTACTTTATACAGCTAAAACCAATTCCTCAGTTGCTCAGTTCTTTTCAAATAATTTCAAAAAAGGATGTCATCTAATGCACTGTAAGCCCTCTAAATTTCTTAACACTACAACCTTGACTTTGGATGAACTGCACATTGGCAGGACATAGTAAGGTAAAAGGCATGAGAACAGAACAAGTACCATTAAAGAAGAATTCATTTAAAGCTTATGATTGTAATCTTACATTAAAGTTTCATGTAATATTACAACTTAAAATGTAGTTCTACACTGTGAATGTTTGTTAATTGCATCTAAGGACACTACATTAGCATTATACATTCTAGAAATGTTTTTTTTTTATCATTGTATTACATTATTTTATTATTATTTATCATTATTGTATTATATTACAGTGAATGATTATTATACCCACATACCCCATCAACCGATCTTCTCGCTCTCTCTACCACTTGACTCCTCACACAGCATTATAATTACAAAGGGCCTCACATATGTGGCCATTATCACTTATGCGTAAGTACACCAGCTTACTTGCCTTTTCTCTCTTCCTTTCGCACTCTGGGCCCCACTCCGTTCTCGCCCTGCTTCCTACAGTACTGCAGCTGGACCAAAATGCTTATCAGCCTTCCAACTACACCAAAAGGTACACTTCCTACATATGTGAGCTGTATGCCTGCTTGTACACACACACACACACACACACACACACATAATTACTCATATTCCACGCACGTCTACTTTCATGGCCTGGCAAAGCAAAGCTACATGGAGCTGAGCTGAGCTGAGAGTATGCTCTTTTCATATGCTATATCAAGCCTATTAGAGGAGGTGAGGTGAGAATAATCACACTTTGACATGTGAAGACAGGAAGGCTGTGTGCAAGAGAAAATCTGTCAAGACCCCCATCCCCCCATCTACAGTAAGATCTATTTTTTCTCTCTTTTCACACACTATGCAGTGCTTGTGTAAGAGTGACATTACAGTTAGGCCAGGTGTGGTTAACTGTGTTGGTTTGTGAGTCTTAAATTGAAATGTACTGTATTGCTGATATGAAGGATGGACTTTACAGTGAAAGAGTTAATATAATTACCATGTATACCAATGTAATTGCTCTGTAATGCGATAATTTTCTGATTGTACAAGCAGTCATATAATTTGCTGCTTCCTTACCTGGAAATTTCCAATGTAGTCCTCATCCCTGTCTCCTTCTGTACCCTCCTTCAGGGCAATAAGGGTGAACCCTCTGAAGTAGGAGGGACTGGATGCAATCAGAGTCACTGGATGGAAGCAAACAAGAGTGACAACAAGCATCAACTGACTGCAATCCTCACTCCCATATACAAGACTATAGTGGGATTAATGACCTACCTGCCTGAGTAGTGTTTCATGCAGAAGTAATATTGTGTCAGACTAGTGGAATATATTCTGATATAAATTTAATTATTTTTTATGCAACTATTTTTGAGAAAGTAGTTCAGGTTACAGTAATTATAATGCTACAGTGTCAGCCTGGCAGTATTTTCACGAGATCTTTAGCATTTCTTTATGCATTTTTCAATCTAGCAGAACATAAAAGGGTGTTCATTTACTATGAGGAAAAATGTATTTCCTGTACAAATTTATCTGAATCTTAGGAGAATCCTTTTGACTTAAACATGTCTAATTTCTAGTATAGATGGTTTTAATTTTCCAACTCCCCATTTCAAGCTAATTAAGAAATTCTCTTTGGATAAAATGAAACTGCATGAGCCTTTGAGATTCACAGGGCAGATGGCACATGCCCATTAACAGCACCAAATAACTTTCACTTCAGACAAAAGCAATAAAATCAGGGACTGCTGGCTGTTTTTAAATCTGTTTTAACTTTGAGAGAGAATAGTAAAAAGCATGAAAGAGGTCGCAAAGTGATTCAGCTTTATATAAACTTTATTAAATTTTAAGGGGTTCTGTCACGGGTGTTGACATTAGGTTAAAAGTAAACTGTTGTCACCTTAGGCTTTTGGTCCAAATGCATATTTCCCTATTGTGATGAAGGGTCATCTCTTTACTAATCAAATATAGTTTACTTTCAGGGCATATAGACTTGCGCTCATCAAAAGTAGACTCTGTAGAAACACATTTGGCTTAGTTTGCATAGCCTACTGACCGTAAATTAGTGTTTATTTGACAATGCGCACATAGTGCCAACAAGCGCAGTGTGCGTAAATCTCGCGGATAAACACCAACCTCTGTATGTGCTGCCTGGCTGATAGCTCTCCGGGTCTCCCTCAACGCGGAGGCGAAACTCGGTGTTGACCTCCTTCCGATTGCTCTGAGCCCGTAATATCCGACTACAATACCCGTCTGACTTCCCGACTCTGTCGATGGGCTCCTCGGTGAATGCAAACATATTGCACGCTGCGGTGGAGATGAAGCAGACTAGCAGAATAACGCGTGGATGTTGCCCGGTTGCTGTCATCGTGTGGATTTCCGACAGCCAAGTTGATGCGCGGAGATGAAGGGAGTCTTGTCCGGAGGGGGGGTGGGGGGGGGGTTACAGAAGAAACCTTCAGCTCCCGTGGGGGGGGGGGGGGGGGTTACAGAAGAAACCTTCAGCTCCCGTTGCACTTCTAAATGAGAGTCCAACTTGCCAACTGCTGAAGTAGACTTCGGTTAGGGTAGATCCATCCTGGTGCAAATGACAGAGAGAGAGAGAGTAGGAGGAGGAGGACTGACTGGGATGTGCTGTGCACTCTCACTCTAAGAGAACTGCACACTGCGTGCCGTCGCTGGCTCAGACTGAGCAGGATAGCACGGGTCCGAGGAAATGGCCAAGCTAGGAACGCGCGCTGTGCAGCTGTCTCCAAGGCCACAGCTATTTACTAACAGACTAGGTGAAGAATACTCTGAACCAACAGACTGAGGACAAAGACAAACATTCCTACCAATGAGTGCTGAGAGGAGGCAACACATTTGACATACTTGGACTGAACTCTCGGTGTGGGTGCGGTGTGTGTGTGTGTGTGATCACTCAAGAGTCTTAAAGAAGACACGAACACAGAGACACACACAAAGGAATTAAAAAAGCATACCAAATGGTTGTCTAGGTGACTAATTAAATAATAAGTGTTAAGTGTTGACTTCATTGCTTTGTCTTTTCCCCCCTCAAAGTGGTAAAAGGAATTTGGCATATCAGTCCCAGAGGATCTATGGGAAGAGAGCCTTAAGAACATAAATACCTTACCGAATAAAGCAAGACACCTCTCATCCAATTTAAAATTTTAGGCAGGCTCCATTACTCTGAAAAAAACTCCAGCCCATATACCCAGAGGTGTCACCTATGTGCAATAAATGTCAAACTTCAGTAGCATCCCTCCTCCATAGTTTTGTTCATTGCCCCAAGGTTCTGTCTTTTTGGACTGATATCCACAACATTATGTCTAAGGTTATGGATTTCTGATTAAGCCAGAGCTGCAGCTTATCATCATTGGTATATCTGACACATTCAGAAAGCTAAACACAGCACAGCAGCGTTTTCTGTCTTACTGCCTCATAATGGCAAAGAAATTCATTCTCATGGTATGGAAAAACACAACCACTCCTAAGATGTGGCTAGAGGACCTGACTAACACATTCCATATGGAGAGGATACGATACACTCTATAAGATAGGTTCCTATAATTTACCAAGACCCCTCATAACATATCTTATATATAAATCCAGTAGAGATGATTGAACAGTGAAGGTCTCTGCACAGGAAGGCAGGTGGGTGGGGTGGAGGAGAGTAAGGGAAGACTAGGGAAGAGGTGGGAGTAGGGGTAGATATTGGGGTGGTAGGGAGGACGGAAAGGAGGGGAGGGGATCTCTGATCAACTCATTTTGTCTTGCTATCAACATCATTGTTATTTTGTTTATTTATTTTTATTTATTTGTTTCTAACCCTTTGTTAGTTCTTACATACCCCCCTTTTCAGTTTTTCATTCAGTCTTTGTTTTTATATTACCTGTGTGACTATTACTTGGTTTACTAATACCCTCAATGCCACATGCACAATTGTATGAACTTTAAAAATGAGCATTGATTGCACTAATCTAATGTTCAGTAACCTTAAGCCATGTTGGTCCAAATATCTTTCACATGCTGCATCAACCACAGATGCAACTCATAATTAAGTTGTCATGTAAGCAGTAAAATATGGCCTTGCAGATTCATCACATACACTTATGTAGATTGTAGTAGTTTATATGTAGTGTAACAGTTTTAGCCATGTTAGCTGCATATGTCTTAAGATGCCAATGTCAGTCTGTCGTTCAGTCAAACCACCACTTTGTACAGATGGAAGTATCTCAACAATTATTGAATGGATTGCCATGACATTTTGTATAGACATGCATGGTCCCCATAGGACTGAGCCTACTGACTTTGGCAATCCCCTGACTTTTACTCCAGCGCCACCAGCAGGTTTACATTTGTTTAGTGAAACATCTTGAAAAACGATTGAATGCATTAACATGAAATTTGCTACATATATTTATCGTGCCCAGACAATGTATCCTAATGACTTTGATAATCCGCTGAGATCTCCTGTAATTGGATTGGATTGGATTGAAGTAGTCATCGCCTGCCTCAGAATTAATTGTAATGACTTTGGTGATGCTGCGATTTCTTATCTAGCACCACCACCAGGACAACATTTGTCCAATACTCATACATTCCCATCATCCTCAGCTGAACTTGGTGTTTTGTGCCAATTTGCAAGAGTTAGCATGCTAACATGCGACAATGGACATGGTACATTATACATGCTAAGCATCAGCATGTTTGTATTGTCAGTGTGAGCAAAATCACTCCTTAAAATTGTAAACCCAAAGTTTTCAAGGACCAGTGTGTAGGATTTAGTGGCATCTAACAATGAAGTTGCAGATTGCAACTAACTGAACACCACTTGCGCCTGTATTTTACGACCTGGGAATGAGAACAGGCTTTGTCTGTTCTAAACTACTAAAAGAAAATGGTGGTTCAACATGGCTCAAATCATCACTCAAAACATACCTTTGAATGTTATATTCAATTTCTGCCAATAGATCCTCCTAAATGTCACACAATGGACGTTTAAAAGTTAAATTGGAATTGGAGACAAACACCATCGTACATTACTCAGTATCAGTAATCTAAACATCTGGCAGACATTTTTTTCAAAAGAACACATATAGGCCACTTGATGCTAAATATAAATATAAGATCTAAGTCTGAGTAGTATTATCCTGCAATTCTAGCACTTTTTCTAGCATTATTTTTTTTAATATCCATCATCCAAACCTGCATGTGAATTATATGGTTTATAAATCACCAGCTGAAAGATATCTACTTTTACTCTGTTTGTTAAGTATTAAGGGAAATACTGGTACATTATGATTTCAACTGAAATCAAGCCTTTAACAATCCCTCAGTTGTGATGATGGCCTCTTTCTGAATTAATCCAAGATTTTTGGGAGAGAGCAAGGTTTTTGAGACTCTTCACTCTTTGCGAAGCCAATAAAAAAACACCACAGTCTTGAAACATTTGTCAGGTGAATCTGAATGACGATTCTTAAAATGTAAGCTTTCATGAAAGCTCTTTATTCTCTACTTTTCTGTTTCTTTAGTCTGCTTTTGTCTTCTTGGAACATACTCACCTTTAGACTTTTTAAAATCAGAATCAGTAATCCGAATGTCAGTAGTCAAGCTTCAACTCATGATCATGATCAAATGCTGTCCATTAGGGAAAGTGTCCTTTGTGTCCCGGTATAATGTCATTTAATAAATGATGAACAATAGTGCGTGGAGTGACATTTTATGAAGACATTTATGTATATTTGGTTTATTTTTTTTCTATTACACATTATTGAATAATTATTTATTGATTGATTCAGCAACTAATAACTCCTAAAATCCACAACGTGTTGTTTAGCTCAGTAATAGACACATTGTAATTTAGTGGTGGTTTTAAAAGCTGGACTTCACCCATCTCAACCATTTCCTGCACATTTAAAGCCTTAATGTTTGAAATAAGCCCCCTTCTGGAACACATAGTGGGTGTTTGGATCAAACCATGTTAGGAAAACTACCTTATACGAAACTAAACACTTTATTTTAATGCATCCTGTGGTTTGCTTTAGTTTGACCTTCTGTGACTCGAGAACAGGCTAGGAAATAATCCTTCTGATCACTTATTGCCTCCCTCTTTTGTTATCTTCCTCACGTTCTTTTCTGCCTTTTTAACTCACATTTTCCTTTTTCTTCCAAAGCATATTGGTTGTCTGTTCACCATTAGTCCTGCGGTCACTGAAATAAAAACATGACACGTTACACGATGACAACACAACACTGGGTGTGAAGCGATGAACTGAAAAGTGTTGATGTAATCCCCTCGTTTCTGTGCTGCTTAATCTCGCTCAGGAGGAAGGCAGCATTTTATCCTTTGTGACATTTTCTTGCAACACCCCCAGAGTTTATTTCAGTCTTCAAAAGGGTCAGCAGGCATGTAATGAGAATGTAACAACTTCTGATGGGCACTGACAAATGGAGAGGGGCTATGCTCTGTGCATCTACCGCTGGGTTGATGGATGGATGTTGGGGGAGAAGAGGAACAGTGTCTGGATTGCAGAATGCTACACCAGCAGGTGTCATGAAAGCATTTTGTCTCACAGCCCTGCTGAGCTGAATCTCTTCCCCACCTTCAGTCCTCAGGTTACTCCCTGCCTTTTTACAAAATATAGTGTGCATCAGAACAATTTCTGCAAGATCTTTACTTTCCCTTTTACCAATGGAAGTAATATAGCTGAAGCAAAATGTTGACCTGTGTAACTGTACTTAGCATAACAGAATTTTCAAAGCCATTTACCGCATGAATTATATAAGGGCTCATCACTTTCTTCTTTCTGAAAAAAAAATCTAAAATTAAAGCCCTAGTTTGCTTTTACCACAGTACAACTAAATATAATACATGTGCTGTATTACTGCATTAAGAAATATAAATCCAAAAAGCAGCACACTTTAAGTGGTTTTTTATGGTTGTTTCTGTTTAAAAATCAGCAATTGTCAGCCAACAAATGAGTCTACAGTTGCTGAATATGGAATTTATAGATAATTTTTGTATTACACCCCAGTTTTTTTTTTTTAAGCCTATGTAGAGATGACAGTGTCTCTGTGTTTTATTGCTGCGTATTTTTAGAGACGTAACTTCTGTCCAGGAAGATTTGCTTTGAATTCCTAAACCAGTCAATAAAATCTGTGTGGTGAAGTTGAATGAATTATGAGCTGTCATTCCTTCAACAACTATTCTTGAGTTGCCCTTGAGTGTGGCACTTAGACCCCAACAACTCCAGGGGAGCTACTCAGAGGCAACAGTAGGAGACTGTGAATGAACTGCGTCACTGCCAGGTACGTGTGTGTGCAACAAGGGATGTGAAAACAGCAATGCTGAAAGTAGCCTTCACTTTTAGCTGACCTTTTCTGGACAACCAAAAGTGATTTAAACACATATATATGTACAAACACAGATTT